TACATGTAAGCAGATATGAATAAAGACTAAATATAGCAAATTAACTCATACCAATCATACTAATTCGTAACAGAAATAGAGAACTAGAACTACATATCAAACGATTCAATTAGCCACGCCTAGCAAATACACAAATAAACAAAATCCCTAACTTATGTCTAGATATAGATTCGACATGATTTAGAATGAAATTCGACGAATAGAGAAGGATTATTACGATTCAAACCGGGTTGAGGAGCTGAGAGATCGATGGTTTGGGCTCCGAGTTCATGCTGATGATGATGATCAAGGGTATAAATCTGTAATGAATGATGACTTTAGCTTTCTTCATCGTCCATGTACTCTATTCCTTCAAGAGCTTCGATGCTGATTTATCGTCTGATGGCTTTGATCCTCTCGATGATTTGCCCTTTGCCTTCAAAACCACCTTCATGAACTAGAACTTAAAAGTTCAATGAGCTAATATGTCATTTTCCCTCTTTTAATAATGGTCATTATTTAAAATATCATCTATTGTTTTCAAGATAACATAATATTTTTTAAATTTTATGATTTTATAACTACTATTACTTTTAATTAATTAAAAAAAATACATGTTTTGAATATATATATATATATATATATATATATATATATATATATATATATATATATATAAACCACTTTTTTCGGTTTTTTGTTAGTTTGGGATTTCAATTAAAAAAATAGGTTGAGGTTTCAATTAAATAAATTCAATGCATGATTTTAAAAAAGAAGTATAAGTTATTGAGGTTTTAAATAAATATGGTTGAATTAAATTATGTATTATAATAAATATATAGATAAATAAATAATAGATAGTTAAATGCTATGAATTATAAAAACTAAGGTCCCGTTTGAAAGTTGCTTACTGAGAAATGTATGTCTGAGTAAGAAACTCTGACTGAGTAAGAAACCATGTTGTCTGATTCTACATCTGACTGGATGTGCTAACCGATAAAAAATGACCATTTTGCCCTCGTACTTGTTCCAAACCAACATCCTAACACATAAATATTCATAACTTTATCAACAGTTATGTATGACCATTTTGCCCTCATATATGTATGTGGTATTCCTAAAAAACAACAAAATTGATCCAATTCTCAAAGCCAAATCAACATATAAGAAAGTGGCTTTCTTTTTACTTTTTACATATTCCTTTAGAGTTCAACAATAAAATCACTTGAAACAAAGAACATTAAGGAGCAAACATCAACATATCAGAAAAATTAAGAACATTCAGAGAAGTTCAAACATGAACATAACAGTTGAACAACAAAATTATGCAGAAATCTAACTCCAGCCTACTTTCTGAACCAAATTCTGCAGAAATCTAGCAAAATTCGAAACTTTTAGAGAAGTTCAGGCATGATCAGAAGAATATATTGATCTTATTATGCAGAAATTGGAACCCATTTTCAACAGCAACTCATAATTATGTAGAAATCGGAACCCATTTTCAACAGTAAATCAATAAAAACTTTTATGTGGATCTTCTATATGAATGGGTATAAAGGAATCGTACCTGATGAGAAGAAGTAGTTGATGAAGGCGCTGGTATGGAGGAGATCGCCGGTGACTGGATATCAAGAATTCTCGATGCTTGCTGGTTTGTTTTATGGCTATGGAGGCGCTGCAAGAATCGAGCGAGAAGAATGAGGATGGAGGCGATGAAAGAGAATGGTAGGGCAAGGGTAAAGATGGAATAGTATCCCCTTTTTCTCAGTCAGCTATTTTGCCTTTTCTATCTGAATCAGATGTTTCTTAGCGAGCCAGATGCGTAAATTTGAACTACCAAACACGTTTTGCTGACCGAGTCAGCCAAAAACGTCTGAGCTGACTCGGCCAGACTAGTATCAAACACTGCCTAAAACAAGCACACAAAAAACAATTAAAAATTATGGAGCTTTCAAATAAATACGTCTCTCGCGATACCACCCTGCCATAGTCGCGAGTCTGTTTATAGTCGCAACTGTTGTCATAGTCAACAAGGTTGAAACTTCCAGGAAAAAACTTCGAATTGGGAGGTCGATCCTCCCGGTGAACTGACCGTACCCCAAACCGACACAGGTGAATAAGTAGAGTACACCAGGGCGCTTGAGAGAACCATGTCGAAGGAACTCGGCAAAATGACCTCGTAACTTCGGGAGAAGGGGTGCTCTCCTATCTTTTGATTAGGAAAGCGACACATACCAGGGGGTAGCGACTGTTTATTAAAAACACAAGACTCTGCTAAGTGGTAACACGATGTATAGAGTCTGACACTTGCCCGGTGTTGGAAAGTCGGAAGGAGGAGTGTTATAAGCTTTGAATTGAAGCCCCCGTAAACGGCGGCAGTAACTCTAACTGTCCTAACGTAACGAAATTATTTGTCGCATAAGTAGCGACCTGCACGAATGGTGTAACGACTGCCCCGCTGTCTCCGACATGGACCCGGTGAAATTGAATTCTCCGTGAAGATACGGAGTACCAACGGCTAGACGGTGCAAATTAGTAAACACTAAAATATACACATGATAAAAAACAAATACTTTGTTTCATAAAAAAAAAATTACAACTCTTAAACAAACATTTAGTTTAATTAAAATGTCAACCCTTCAACAAAATTCAGATAAAACCATGAAGTAAAAAAAACAAAACATTCTAATTCCTTTAACAAATCCAAAACAACAATAATCCATTTCCTTTCATGCCTTTGTTGCTTTCAGCATACAATGAATATAATAACCCTACACTTTTTTTTACCAACAAGAACACTTCTCCACCTT